TGCTGGGGCACGTCTCCAGGTCCCTCCTTCCTCATGGTCATGGCACGTGCAGGACACAGATGACTTCACGCTGGTCGGCCCAGTGTCTCTGCAAGGCAGATTTACTAGTTAGAAGAGGATTGGCTATCCCTGACTAAAAAGGAGGTGTGACGTCCCCCTCACACCCATTATGTGCCCCTACAGCCCTCCCCACCCCAGCTCTACCTGCTGAAACCTGAGCTGCCCTCCAAGCCCTCACCTCTCCAGCCCCTTCATGTTCCTTGACCCCAACCCACTCCAGCCATGCTGAACTTGGTCACCTGTGCGTGCAACATGCTAACCCTTAACTCCAGGCCTTTCCTGAGCTACCTAGGACTTTTTCCCAAAGCCCTTGTGCATGGCCACTCACCGCTCATGTCCCTCCTGCCCTCCACTTAAGACAATGCCATACCCTGGTCCTCTGGGTCCCTGCAGTGTCTTCTCTGTCCCTGAGCACTGGCTGCTTGCACCACGGGGCCTAATTCTCCCACCAGACACGAGATGTCTAGTACTGTGTGTTGTGTATACTGAGGCCCAGCCCCTAGCCCAGAACCCAGCTCCGAAGCATTTGTCGAATGAAGAAATAAACGATTGAATGGGGCCCTAGGTCAAATTCCCATTCCTTCCTCCCAGCCAAGCCGTTGCTGGTTTTGAATCTCCTCTTCCGGGAGGGGCTGGGCTGGCTCAGGACTTCTCTGACTCTTATCTCCTGCTGCCCCCTAGTGGCTCTCAGGCTTCCGTCCTACTGAACAGATGAGTTGGGTTTGTTTACTGTGAGCGGTCTGAGGGCAGGAACCAGCCTGATTTATTTCTGTTAACAGAGCCAAAAACAGAAGAGATCTTAGTAAATATTTAAGCAAATGAACTAATTACTCTGAAATGTGAGAGGAGCCTTAACTCTGCATCTGGAAAATGCTGTCAGCCAATGTATTGGACAGCCCTCCCCACGCGTCGGTCAATATTACAAATGATAATAGCTGCGTGCAGTGCCTAATGCACACTGGCCGCGCGCCATCCCCTCCTGAGTGCTTGCTGCGCGCTTCCCACCACAGCCCAGGGAGGGATGAGCCCTTACCGCCTGCACCTTGCCAGAAACCGGGGATCTTGCCTGAGGCCGCGGTGGCTCCAGTCAGTTCCCTTAATCAATCCCCTCCTGTCTCCCTGGCCCAATAACTGCAATAGCAGTAAAGTGTTTATAGTCATTAGTAATATTTCTCCCTTACTATTTATTTTTAAATTTTATTTCAGTATTACCAGTATTTACCATTAGAGATCTTAAAGTTCACAGAAGAGCCAGCCAATAGCATGATGGTTAAGGCAGTTGGATCCCACATAGTCAACTGTGCTGTTCAAGTCCTGGAGCTGGTGGCTTGAAAAGCACGCCAGGCACATGTGTGAGCGTGCACGAAAATCTCAACAGGAAGGAGAGAGAGAGGGGAAGGGATTGCAGGGTGACCATGCCCAATCAGGGGTGCTTTCTTCCTCCTCCCCAGCCCCATCTTCTCCCCTATGAGCACGTTTTATAAACAATTCAAATGTTTTCAAAAAATTCACGAGGCTGGCAGGTGGCGTGTGGTTAAGGCACTAGATTCCCACACGGTTGACTGCAATTCAAGTCCCAGACCTGGTGGGTTGCTTTCACACTCCCTCTATCCCTGATCAAATTTAAAAATAATAAATAAGTGAAATTAAATAAATAATTTTTTTTCAATTTTTGGAGAAGTTTTTGCTAGAGGGTACGTGCACTCGCCAGAAAGACAGAGAGAGAGAGAGAGAGAGAGAGAGAAATCACCCCCTGGGAGGATGGCAATGCCACAATCCTTTCTCCTCCACTCTCCTCTCGGGATCTTGAGCTTGCACACACATGCACCCAGCATGAGTTTAAGCCACCGGGTCTGGGACTTGAACTGCAGTCGACATATGAGAGTCCAGCAACATAGCCATTATGCCAACTGCTGGTCTCCAAATAATTCTTTTTTTCTTTTTAAGTTCATGGAAAATGCATATTATGAGGAAACTATCCATGGATTTCAAATTTGGGGGACCAAAATAAACTTGTACTTTAATTCTATTTTCTCACAAACTTTTAACACTTATATAAATAAAATTTACTTTGCACCAGGCATAGTTCTAAGCATCGAAAAACTTAAATGTGTGTTACTAATTTAACCCTCCAACTACCTTATGGTGTTAGGGGACTGTTAGTGTCCCCATTTAACCTGTGAATAACCTGAGGTATGGAGAGGTTAAAGCAACTTACGCAGGGTCGCCAGTTAATAAGGGATGCAGCTGAGGTTCCAACCGTAGCAGTCTGGGTTCAGAATCTGTGCCCTTAACTATGTATAAGGAGGACTGGGGCCAGCATCTCTGACCTGAGGGCACGTCCACCCACAGAGGGCATGAAGACAAAGCACACAGTATCTGCTGGACTAGCCCAGAGCCAAGTCTAGGAGGAGAGAGGCCTTACAGAACTTTCTACCAGCCCCTCCCAGTCTGCGTGACCTGGAGACAGTTGCTTGGTCTCTCTGTTCACTGATTTTCCCTTTATGCTACTGGGGCAAGATGATTGGATGTTGCAAGTTTTGCCAACTGGGGTATTCATTAGCAAGGACCTTAGCTTCTTCACTGGAAGGGTCGGGGGAACACTGGTCCTTTCTCACCTCCCTACAAGTTGGATGTAGCATTAGGGGAGGAGACCCCCATCTCCAGGACGTTTCCTCTGGTGGGACAGCTGACTCTGCAAAGCTTGAGGGAGGGCAGGACCAGGTATCTCCTGACCATCCCTCCCCTCCTGCCCACCCGTGGGGATGGTGTGTATGAATGAACCATCCTTCCAATGCCTTTCCGTCTTTTCTGGTCCAGGTGTGGAAAAGGGAAGCTGGAAGACGGAGATGGCATCAACCTGAATGACATCGAGAAAGTCCTCCCGGCCTGGCAGGTAGGTGCCAGGGCAGAGTCTCCAGCACACCGCCCACCCTGGGATCTGGCTCCTGGGCTGGGCAGGGCCTGAGCCTCCTGCTGGGCCCTGACTTCAGCAAGCATGGAACCACACGTCAGTCGTAGGTGGGCACCCGCCGTGGCGTCCCACTATGGCCGTGTGTTTGGCAACCCACCCTCAAGGGTGCCGTGGGCACTGCTGGCAGGCCTGGTTCCCTTGGAGGAGAAATGGGCCTGCACTGGCAACTCAGCGACCTTGAAAAGTTTGTTCTTCGACCTAAAACCTCTGTAGGTGAGGTATCCGCCGTGTGTTCAGGTGGGGGTTCCAGGGTGGCCAGGGCTATCTTTAGACTTTTGAAAAGTGGAGTTGTCCTTCTGGCCAGCCTCCAGGTGTCCACCCCGCCTGCTGATTTTGTCATTGATTGGGCTCCGTTCCCAGAATCAGGTCAGACTTCAGGACAAAGAGGATTCACTTGGAAAAGATACTGTGAATTCAGGTCTCAGAAATGCTTACGTGTTGGACTTTGAGGGATGCTTACGTGTTGGACAGGAGGGATCTGACTACTCCCAGGGGTTGGACCTGCAGTGGAGGAGTTCGAGCAGTGAACCCTATGAAGGGACTCAGCCTGCCGCTGATGGTGACCTGCTGCCACTCTCACCATGTCACCTGCCCTTTTCTCCGCCAAATCTCCACTGCTTTACTTCCATCCCGCATCCCTTCTGGTGCCTTTCCCCTTTGCGTCTTTTCTGTCCGTGCCTTGGGCCTAGCGATGGGAGATGATGAGAGGACAACTAAGTTCTCAGTGACTTCATCATGATGTGGCTTGGTGTGGTTTTTCTGCACGTTTTTCCTGCTTGGGACTTAATATGTTTCTTTTTTTTATGTATTTTTTTATTTAACTTTATTTATTCATTTACTTTTAATTTGACCAGAGAGAGAAAGCGAAAGAGAGAGAGGGAAAGTGAGAAAGCAAGCCACCAGGTCCAGGACTTGAACCATGGTCAGCCATGTGGGAGTCCAGTGTCCTTAACCACCATGCCACCTGCTGGCCCCCAAGGGACTTAATATGTTTCTTTGGTCTGTAGGTTTATAGTTCCATCAAATCTGGAAACTTTTCAGCCATTGTTCTTCCCCTACCCCCTGACCCTGGGGTTCCAATTATGTATCTGCCGTTCTTTTTATTTTTCTATGGCCCACCAAAGTTCTGCTACTTTGGGGGTTTTGTTTTTGTTTGTTTTGCACTCACCAGAAAGGGAGAAGGTGAGAAATCACCCTCTAAGGGGAATGGACAAGCCATAATCCCTTCTTCATTTTCCTCTCAGGACCATGGCTGGACACACACACACACAAATACACACACTCACATGTGCGTGCCTGGTATGATTTTTAAGCCACTGTGTCTGGAACTTGAACCACAGTTGGCCATGTGAGAATCCAGTGCCTTAACCACCACACTACCTGCTGGCCCCTGCTGATTCTTTTTAAGTACACACACACACACACACACACACACACACACATATTTAATTTTGAATAGTTTCCATTGCTGTGTCTTTAAGTTCACTCATCTTTTCTTGCAGTGTCTAATCTGCTGCTAATCCTAGGCAGTATATTTTTAAATTTCAGATAGAACATTTTTCATGTCTAGAAGTTTAACGTGCATCTGTTTGCAAATGCTGGGAACTTTACACTGTTGAGTGGTGGTGTTTTTAGGACTTCAAGCTTTGTTCTGGGACATAGTTAAGTTACTTCAGAACAGTTTGATCTTTTCAAGACTCGCCTTTGAGCTTTGTTAGGGCACCTTTTGCTGCACTGCTAAGACAGTACTCTTCTGAGATTTCTCCCAGTGCCTGCGTATGAGGAGGTATTAACAGCAGGCTGGAAGAACACAAATTATTCCAGCCCTACACAATCTCAGGAGAATGTTCCATCCATTCTTTCCAGCTTTGGGAATTTCTTCATACACGTGCACAAATGAATAGTGTGCCAACAGTTTGAGGGTTGGCCGCTCTCTGGAATTCTCTATGCAGCTCTCTCCTGCCTGAAACTCTGCCTTGCAAAATGCTAGTTGTCTTAGATTCTTTGGATTCTGAACGTTTATCTTCTTAACTCACTAAAATCCATAGGCTCTGGTCAGACTGCCCACTCTGTGTCATCGACGGGATGCTCTTTCTAGGCAGCAGACTGGAACATGTGTAGAGGTTGCCTCTTTACAAAGGAAAACCTGTTCACATTATGATGAAGACTGGCAGGCGCCAACTTGACCTGGTGTCAAGGTTAATATCAGTGGTGGGATGATGGACACCATGTGCTCCTAGGAAGAAAACCCAACATTGTTTCTGGACTTTTCTTCCAAGAAATCACCGTTGGAGTCTGTCATGTGGAAATGAGAGGGAAAACTATTCTCTGAAACTGCTCAACAGGAAAGACAAGGGAAGACGGGGGTAGTCTTCCAGATTGCAGGAGACTGGAGAGGCAGATAAATCAATGTGACCTGTGTTCCTTGCTGAAATCCTGGACCAGAAAGAAATGGAGCCTTGGAGGGATAGGTGGAGACTGTGAATGGGGTCTATGGGGGGACAGTAGTTTTGCTTTGGTGACAGTTTCCTGTCTTAGAGGGCTGTTTCATGGTCATGGATGCAGAGCGTCCTCATTTTTGAGAAATATGCACTTGATTATTTGGGGGACTTGAGCCTCATGTCTGAGCTTGTCCTCCATCATTTGGAAACACATGTATGATGACGGTGTGTGGGGACATTGAGGGAGAGAAGAGGACAGAAGTCTCTGCAGTCGGGATATCTGAGTAAGAAGGATGTAGGCATTCTTAGACCATTCATTTTTGCAACTTTCCTATACATTTGAAAAGAAAAAGAATCAATGAGACCTAAGCCATCATGCGTAAGTCCAAGGTGGGAGGTATGCTCTTCTGAGATAGCCCGTGGGCTGAGTCTGTATTAAATGATCACTAACGTAAAGCCAGCCGTGGCATGAACATAAGAGTCAAGTACACGGAGTATCATTGTCACTCCATTCATTGATAGAAAGAGTACATTTGGGGATGGGGTGATGGCACAGCAGGAAGACATGATGCTCTGTGAGACTGACCCACGTGGGAGGTTCCAGGTTCATGTCTGGAGACCTCCCCAGGCACACCAGGCAAGCGTGTACCCACGATCTGGGGCTGACTGAGGCTGGGGGTGGATCGTGGCATTGAGACCTTATTGAAGGTGCTGTCTCTCTGGCTCTCTCTGGCTCTGTCTCACTCACTCACAGCTCTCTGTCTGTTTCACTCATGGAAGAACTAAATCATTTTTTTTTTAAATGAGTGAGAAAGAAGTGCACCTGAGAGACCTTGATCGAGGTGAGGAGCCGATATCCCGGCCCTAGGTGGAGTGTTGGCCCGTTGGTGCTCAGGCAGCGTGAAGCCTGGGATGCTCAGCTGGAGAAGTGACAAATCTGACCCTTTTTCCTGTTTGTTCACCGTCTTCCAGCTCCATCAGGGGACAGAGTGGGGGGAGCCTTTGGTTCCCGCTCAGAAGGGAAAGGAGCCCTAGCCCACTGGCTGGTTGAAGACCTCAGAGTGCAGGGTTCTGGACTCAGATACGGAATCCCGGTCCTGCCCTGGTGGGCTGAGGAGCCTGAGGCTGGCTGCTTACCCTAGCTCTGCCTCAGTTTCCTCCTGTGTAAGATGAGTATACTTCATAGGATATTGGGAAGATTAAGTGCATTCATTCTTGTGCAGTGCTGAGAGCAAGGCCTGGCACATAGTGGGGGCTTTGATGGTTTCTGCTGTAATTGTTCACAGGACTTGAAACTGCAAGTCAAGTCTCACCTTCTGTGGGTGGACCAGGCTGCGGGTGCCCCCTTTGTTAGAAGGTGGGGGGAGGGGGGGCAATTTCCTGCTCCTGCCCACCCTTAGCTGTTTCTCAGTGTAGAGGCACATTTCTGCAAGGGAGCAAGTGGGAGACAGACCTTGGTTCACGGGCTGGGCCCATGAACCCCACCCTTGCCCCATTGCAAAGGTCTCATTTGTGTCTCTGCTTATGCAACTCCCCACGCAGTGCAGCCAGATTGGAGCTGGAGGTCAGGTGAGGAGAGTCCAGTTCTGGACATCGGCCACAGCCATGCTGTGGGCCTCCTCTCTGTGGTCTTGTTGTCCTCGTCATCAGATGACACAGACTGGGTCAGAGGTTTGCAAACTGAAGCCCCCAAGGCTCTCCAGAGATGCCTCAGAGCCCTGCAGGGGCAGACTGCAGGGGAGCTAAAGAAGCAAGTCCCCAGGACCCCCGCTCAGGCTTAGCCAGAGCCTTCCACTGGTGTCTCTAAACCAAGATCCTCTGATGGTGTTATGTGGAGAAATGATTCCACTGCTACTCAGACTTTGAAAACCCTGAGCCCAAAGCCCTCTGAGGATTCAGTCTAGGGATCTCTCTCTACGCCCGGAACTGTAAATTGGCGAGTCTTCTTGGCTCTGCACAGCCCGGATGTGATGCTGCTGTCTTACAGGCTGCTGGGGTGGAGGTCTTCACGCATTTTTGTCTGTTTTCAGGCTAGAGCCACATAGTGGAAGGGCTTTGATACACACATATACCGCTTGTATATGTGTGTATAATGTGTAACGAATGCACACACATGTACATGCATGCCCCACACACACTTACACACATCACACACATACCATGCAAACCCACATCACATACACCACCTGCACACACAGACCTCATGTACACGTACACACACATGTTCAGGTCACACACTGTGGGCTTGCTTTGCCCTTGTAACTACCGGCAGATTCATTCCTAAGGCCATGGTGCTAGACTGGGGCGGCACATCAGAACGGCCCAGGGAGTTTTAGATCTGTAGCTGTCAGGCCTCACCCTAGACCCGCTGTAGCAGTCATCTCTTGCTGTGTAACAAATTGTCCCAAACATAGCAGCTTGAAACAAGGAGCATTCATGATGTCGCACACCTTTTCTGAGAGCCGGGAGTCGCGTGGCCAG